TTTGAGAGACTTCAGTGACTTTCCAACGACGATCCGTGGTGGTTGGCCCACTGTCGGCGTTGTTGGCTGGGTGGCGGTGGTGGTTTGTATTTTGTTTTAAATATAAAGGCATTATTGTCTAAAAACTTAATTAAATAAAGGTAAAATTGAAATGATATATTAATGTAAATTGATTTTAAAACAAGGGCATTGTTGTCCAAAATTTTTATTAATAAGGGATAGAATTGTAACAAAAATAAGATTACCTTGGTAATCGGTAATCTTACAATACCTAAAAAAATGGAAGTAATCAAATTACCTCCAATATTACCAACAGTAATAACTATTGGTAATGCACGATTACCAGAATCTTATATTATTTGACAATCAAACATGGTAATTATTGATAGGGGTGAGCGGTTCCAGGTACCCTACATTTTTTGGAACCAGAACCAGAACCGTATAGTGCAGGTTCCGGTTCCTTTCCCAGGTACCCTGTAAAAATTCAATGAATACCTTAAAAGTTAACAAATACACCTCTAACAAATTTTGATTACTCATTCATTTGTGTCCAATGTAACTCATAAATCCTTTAATCTCTAGACAACACTTTAATTCAATCAATTCACATAAAATTTCTCAATCAAAACCAAGACACAAACAATTATTCATCTGTAAATTGTTAATTTAATGTTATAGATTGTTATGTTTATAATGTAATATAATAATATTGTAATTAAATAAATAATTATTTAATTATAATTAATTAAGTAATCATACTATACATGTATAATATAATGTTATAATTAATTAAATTTCTAATTATTTAATTAAATATTGTATTAATGTTTTTAATGTAATGTTATAATTAATTAAGTAATCATACTACAAATTTATAATGTAATGTTACAATTAATTAGATTTTTTAGCCATTTAGTTAAGTAATGTACTAATAACTAATGTAGTAAATTAATAATGTTTATAATATAATGTTACAAATTTATAACTAATTAAGTAATCATTTAACTATGTAATGCTATAATTAATTAAGTGATCATAATATAATGTAATGTAATATAATAATGTTATAATTAATTACGTAATAATTTAATTAAGTAATCATTTGTTTATAATGTAATGTTAAAATTAATTAAGCAATCGTACTATAAATTTATAATGTAATATTAATATGTTATTATTAATTAAATTTCTAATCATTTAATTAAGTATTGTGCTTATATTTATGTAGTAAATTACTAATATTTATAATATAATGTCATAATCAATTAAGTAATCATTTAATTATATAATGTTATAATTAATTATGTGATCATACTATAATGTAACGTTATAATGAATTAAGTAATCATACTATAAATCTATAATTTAATATTGTAATTAATTAAATTTCTAATCATTTAATTAATATACTAATGTTTATAATAGAATGTTATAGTTGATTAAGTAATCATACTATACATCTATAATGGAATGTTATAATTGATTAAGTAATCATACTATAACTCTATAATGTAATGTTATAGTTAATTAAATTTTTAATCATTTAATTAAGTAATGTAATAATGTAGTAAATTACTAATGTTTATAATGTAATGTTATAAATTTATAACTAATTAAATAATCATTTAACTATGTAATGTTATAATTAATTAAGTGATCATAATACAATGTAATAATTTAATTAATTAATTATTTAATTATAATATAATGCGTAATTAATTAAATTTCTAATCATTTAATTAAGTAATCATTTGTTTATAATGTAATGTTATAATTAATGTTTATAATATAATGTCATAATTAATTAAATAATCATATAATTATGTAATGTTATAATTAATTATGTAATCATACTATAATAAATTACGAAATCATATTATAAATTTTAAGATAATATTATAATTAATTTGTTTATAATAGAATGTTATAATTAATTAAGTAATAATTTAACTATAATGTAATGTTACAATTAATTAAGTAATCGTACTATAAATTTATAATGTAATATTATAATTAATTAAATTTCTAATCATTTAATTAAGTATTCTGCTAATGTTTACGTAGTAAATTAGTAATTACTAATGTTTATAATATAATATCATAATCAATTAAATAATTATTTAATTATGTAATGTTATAATTAATTATGTAATCATAATGTAATGTAATGTTATAGTGAATTAAGTAATCATACTATAAATCTTTAATGTAATATTATAATTAGTTAAATTTTTAATCATTTAATTAAGTAATGTAATAATGTAGTAAATTACTAATTTTTATAATCTAATGTTATAAATTTATAATTAATTCAGTAATCATTTAATTATGTAATGCTATAATTAATTAAGTGATCATAATATAATGTAATGTAATAATGTTATAATTTAATTAAGTAATTATTTAACTATAATGTAATGTTTAATTAATTAAATTTCTAATCATTTAATTAAATAATCATTTGTTTATAATGTAATGTTATAATTAATGTTTATAACATAATGTCATAATCAACTAAATAATCATCTAATTATATAATGTTATAATTAATTATGTAATCATATTATCATGAAATGTTACAATGAATTAAATAATCATACTATAAATATTTAATATAATATTATAATTAATTTGTTTATAATATAATGTTATAATTAATTAAGTAATCATTTAATTAAGTATTGTGCTAATGTTTATGTAGTAAATTAGTAATTACTAATGTTTATAATATAATGTCATAATCAATTAAGTAATCATTTAATTATATAATGTTATAATTAATTATATAATCATACTATAATGTAATGTTATAGTGAATTAAGTAATCATACTGTAAATCTTTAATGTAATATTATAATTAATTAAAATTTTAATCATTTAATTAAGTATTGTACTAATGTTTGTAATGAAATGTTATAATTAATTAAGTAATTAACTAATTATATTATAAATCTATAATGTAATACTATAATTAATTATACTATAAATCAATTAAATAATGTTATAAAATTATAATTAATTAAGTAATCATTTAACTATAATGTAATGTTATAATGAATTAAGTATGATATTTAACTAGTAATTAAATTTATTAATGTTTATCAATTTATCATATATAATTAATTAATTGCTAATTTACTATAGATATACTTAGAACTTGATAATTGAAATAAATAACTAAATATATTATTATTTAATCAAATATACCATTTTATTCAAAAATAATTCTTTTAATAATATTAAAACATTTTTAATTGGATCTTAATTCCAATTCTACACTTAATTAATCAAAACTTTAATATTAATATATTATAATATATTAAAGTTTTTAATATGGTGTAGTTTATATGTAATAAATATTATTGTATATTGATTTAATTAGGTTATTCTAAACTTTTAACTTTTTCTATTTTAAATTTTTTATACGTAAAATAATGAAACCCCTCATTATTCACAAATATTTCATTGGAGCCCAGGTTCCAAAATAGGTTCCAAAAATCAATTCCAAACAGGTTCCAAATCGGGTACCCGCTACAGGTTCCAAACCAAGTACCCATTTCAGGTTCTTTTTCCAGGTTCTGGTTCCTCCATACATAAGAACTGGAACCGAAACAGCACAATGTCGATTCCAATAAAATGGAACCGGAACCTACCCGCACAGTGCTGGTTCTAGGTAGGTTTCGGTTCCGGTTCTACCCGCAGGTTCCAGTTCTACCTGCCACTCGTGCTCACCCCTAGTAATTAAGTAATATAAGATGACATAACTCTAGTAATATTAGATTACGTCCAACCAAACGCCGTTATCAGAGTTCAATTTTGTCACAAATACGAGAAAAGGAAATTGGACCGACAAATGAGAGAGAGAGAGAGGGAGAGAGAGAGAGAAGAGTCTTACTTATCTAAGCAGGCGGCAACGACGGAGAATGAGGAGCCTTTTTATAAGAAGGGTCGAAGACGAAGAGAGGTAGATGGAGAGAGAGAGAGATGTTAGGAAGGGCCGCAGGTGGAGAAAGAGATGTTACAAATTGAATTAGGTTTAGGGTTTCAGGCTTTTGCATATTGTTTTTGGGATTTTTTTTTTTTCTACGGGTACCCGCGGGTATTCTCGGCCAACTTGTAAAAATATGGGTCGGGTCAGATACGAGTAAATAAAAAAAAAGGTACAAAATGATGAACACACACATATATTTTATTACTGCAAAAATATATATAAGAGTTGGTAAAAAAATTTGTTTTCACTATAATTGAAGGATTTGGATTAGGAAGTTTCAATTTGTGTGTAACTATATTACAATTTGAGTTTACAAGTGGTATTTATACTGAGTAATTTTCTATTGCAGTTTATTATATTCACATACATATAATTTGCAATTGAGGCATGTTCATAAGATCTTGGGAATTAGTTTGTTATAATCTTTGTAATTACCATTTTTTCCCAGTAATTTGCATCCATAATCATAGCAAATTTTCCGTGAATCATGTAATTTATCATCTTTTTTATTTTATTTTTATTGTTCTTCAATGGTTTATGTTTTTTTTTTTTTTTTTTTTTTTTTTTAGTTTTTTCTATTAATATTTTTTTCCCTTTTCTTTTTTCCATTACGGGGGCCCATAAAAAACAAGATCCTGAGAGTGTTTTTGGATTTTTTTTTTTTTTTTTTTCAGATCTTACTATTAATATTATATGCCCTTTACTTTTGTCCATTACGGGGGCCCATAAAAAACAAGATCCTGAGAGTGTTTTTGGATCATAATTTATAAATCCATTAATTATTATTATTATCAATAATTTTAGATAATTCTAACGGTATCAGGCACATTTCTGGCACGCAAACTAATTAACAAAGTTTGAATAAAGTCTTGTCTGAGTGAACTACTTGGGAAAGTATCTTAACAGTGCATGCAACTCAATTAATAACCAAAGGGGTGAAAAGTCTTTTCCAACCGAACCTTCCTCTGCCTTCTAAACTCTTAGTATTCTATATATAAATATATCCATACACAAAACAAAAAGACCATCTCAATCCAGCGAAAAAATTACCGACAAATAAAAAATGGTGGCTGAAGAAAGCAGCAGCACTTCTTCATCATATCCGATCAAAACAGTTGTTGTTTTGGTCCAAGAAAACCGCTCATTTGATCACATGCTAGGCTGGTTCAAATCCCTGAACCCAGAAATCGATGGCGTAACCGGATCAGAATCAAACCCAATATCCGCATCCGACCCAAATTCAACCCGTATTTACTTCAAGGACACAGCCAGCTATGTTGACCCCGATCCGGGGCACTCCATTCAAGCCATTTACGAGCAAGTTTTCGGGAAACCATGGAGTACAACGGATCCTGATCCGAATCCAGAATCGGGGCCAACAATGGAGGGGTTTGTGCAGAACGCAGAGAGTATAGAGCAAGGGATGGGAGAAATAGTGATGAATGGGTTTAAACCAGAAGCCTTGCCGGTATTCAAAGAGTTGGTGAAGGAGTTTGCGGTTTGTGACAGATGGTTTGCGTCAATTCCGAGTTCAACTCAGTCAAACAGATTGTATCTTAACTCAGCTACTTCACATGGAGCTACCAGTAATGATACGAAGCAGTTGGTTGATGGGTACCCTCAGAAAACTGTGTTTGAATCTTTGGAAGAAAGTGGGTGTAGCTTTGGGATTTATTATCAGTCTGTTCCGGCTACGTTTTTCTACAGGTAATTTTTTTTTTCTCTTTTATTATCATCATTGTATAATTCCTGATTTAATTTTAAAGGTGGGTCAATGGTTCATGCAAATTAGTGTTATACATAAACTTTACAGCATGATGTACTAATTGATAATAACTTTATAGTAAAAACTTGTTCATTTAGGTTGATTAAGAACCAATAACAAATGAATACATCAAAGTTTAGCTTACATTATTGCTAATCTTATTATTGGTCAATACTTATCTGTATCACTGACCAGCTTGTTCACATTCACACACAAAAAAAAAGATTATAAAAAATTAAGAATATTTTTGGATTCGTTACGCTTAATTTGTCATTTGTTGATTAAATATTATTAATTTATTGGTCTTTTGAGTTTCATAATTTTCAATCTAATAAATCACATGCTGACTCTGTTTATAATGGAGTTGGTGTTAGTGTTCTCCTTCCAGCTGTGCTAAATTATATAATATTTATTTCTTTTTCAAAAGAGAAAAAGACGCTAATCTTCTTTTACTTTAATGAGATAGTTTAAAAGATTCTGTTTTGCCTCCTTTAAAAACTTAAATGCTTGAACCACCGTCTCTATAATGATAAACAGTGAAAATAAAAAATAATAAAAAGAAAATTATTGTTTAAGGGGCCGGGAGAAATATTCATATAATGGTCGTTTTAATAATTGTCACTTTATTAAATGTTGGGTCAAGTTATAGATTAATTAAACAATTAAAAGAATTTAATTTAAAATGGATTAGGTTAACTAACTTTTAAAGTTGAACCAACCAAATCAAACCTTTCTTTTAAATATTTCTTGTATTCATTGTTTTCTTAACTAATAACCAATATTGAAGAATTTTGTGATGTGAATGTGATGGCAGGAACCTTAGAAAATTGAAATACGTGGATAACTTCCATCAATTTGATTTAAGCTTCAAGAGACACTGCAAAGAAGGGAAGCTACCAAACTATGTGTTTATCGAGCCGAGGTATTATGACCTTTTATCCCTAGCTGCAAATGATGACCACCCAAAACATGATGTTTCTCAAGGCCAGAAATTTGTCAAAGATATTTATGAAGCACTCAGAGCAAGTCCCCAGTGGAATCAAACTTTGTTTCTAATTATATACGATGAACATGGTGGGTTTTATGATCATGTTCCAACTCCAGTAAATGGAGTTCCAACGCCTGATGGCATTGTTGGTCCCGAGCCTTATACCTTTAACTTCGATCGCCTCGGGGTTAGGGTTCCTGCCATCTTAATTTCTCCTTGGATTGAGCCTGGAACAGGTGATGACTCAGAACATAGAAATAACCATAACATCATGTCAACCTTCTTATTCTACTTTGTTTGATTATATGCAGTGTTACATGGACCTTCGGGGCCGTCTCTTACTTCAGAGTTCGAGCATTCATCGATTCCAGCAACCCTCAAAAAGATTTTCAATCTTAAAGATTTTCTCACTAAACGTGATGCTTGGGCGGGTACTTTTGAGGGCGTTGTGAATAGAAACAGCCCACGAACAGATTGTCCAGGTTCTTATTTAAAAGTAATGATATTGTTCCTTACATATCTAATTATATACTTTAATGAAAGAGGAGTGAAAATGTATTGCAGTTACACTGCCGGAACCACAGAAAATGCGAGAGACAGACGCGCAAGAAGACGCAGAACTTAGTGAGTTCCAACAAGAATTAGTACAACTGGCAGCGGTGTTCAAAGGGGATCTTACAAAAGATATTTATCCTGATAAAATTATGGAGAAGATGACTGTTGCAGGAGGCTTAAAGTACGTTGATGATGCATTCAAGAACTTCAGTGATGAGTGCAAGAAAGCGAGGGAAAGTGGAGCAGATGAATCTGAGATTGTTCTTTTACCAAAATCAAAACCACCAACCAAGACAACCTCTACAACTTTTCTTCAGAAGGTATTCTCTTGTTTAGTATGTGATAATTGATTATGCCTACGAGATAAGCATTCATTCCATCGACAATTTGAAGAATTTTATCTCCATGAATCTGTGATAATTGTTTGCTTATTGTTATCTAAGCTTTTTATTGTTTCCATCGTTTTCATTGTATAATAACATCTTTATTCATAATTTTTATTATATCGTTGGAGCGGATATGACATGTTCTTAACCTCCCAAACCATCAACTTTAGTTAGGTTTTCGAGTAAAACTATCTTTGCTACCGTCATTATAAATCAAGAAATTTACTTCCACTTAATAGCAAATAAATCAAGAAATTTCAAATTGGAGCATTTTAATTTTAATATAATCTAAGATTTAAAAAAAATATAAGATCATAAAATAATAAATCTAAAATATTCAATTAGAGTCCTCCTCAGTGGATCTAATTCAAAGAAAATTTTGGTTTTAAAAAGCCTGATGAGACACTCTTACCTAGCACATCATAATCCACCAAAACCGGTCCATTCAACGGCTTGGGTACGGTAGACTTTGTGGAAGAGTTACGAAAACAATGCATATCAAAAGGATTTGTTGAATTGCCCAACAGCCTTGAAACACTTTAGGCCTATTTGGTTTCCTTCACAAAAATAGGCATCGACACTTCCTCTACTAAAGTAGGGCAAATTTCACAAACTACCCTGGGTTTTGAGCTACATTGTGATGAGCGGGGCTTGGTGATCCACTAAAAAAAATATTTATCACTAATTTGGTTTGGTTTTTTTCCTTTGACCACCCTGTATTTGTATTAATGTATCTAGATTTGACTCTGTTGATGCTTGATTTTGACACCAACGACTTCGTACGTGCAAAGTGCTAAGAAGATCTTAGAAATTATACGTGAATTGATTATGAGAGCTGAGTTGGGTACTGTTCTCACAGTAGCATGCAAAGACATAAAAGTAAAGGAGATAGTAAATATTTTTATAGTGGTTCAGATGCTTAAAGCAAATCTTACATCCAATGTTTTCTTTTATATTAATGTATTCTTGATTGTTAGCCAAGATTACAATAGGTCGTGAACTGCGATCTGGGGTTACAGGTGTTTGGTATTCTAAGGATTCTTGGAGAATATTAAGCCAGTCTTTTTCTCGTAGTGTGTCTTTGTTATTTTCTTTGTTGAATTCAGAGTATCTAATCCCGATTTTGTGAAGGGGAGTTGCCTATTTATACTCGCTGAGCTCAAGGTAATGATTACATTTATGCAAGTGGGTTGGTGCTGTGCAAATCTCTCATGTCTTTCCATTGGTTGAGAATTTAAGAAATATCCTTAAATTAAATAAGGCTTGGACAAGCGTGCGAATCAAATTTATTCATAGGCAAAACTTGAGTCGGTTGGGCTATTGATAGCTAAATTCTTTCTGTCTTGGGCGACATGGCATACTCTATGAATAAATCTTGGGTCGATCCCACTTACATTTATGCAAGTGGGATCGACCCTTGCTTGCCCTTTATACAATTCAATAGTTAGGTTAGTAAGGTTAATTAATTTGATGCATTCGGCAAGCTACCAAATTTTGGCGCCGTTGCCGGGGAGTGGTATTTGTAGATTTTTTTATATATTCTACGTTTTTTTTTTTTGTGATTTTGTTTAATCAGTGCTTAGTTGTTTTTTTTTTATTTTGTTTAATTGTGATTTTTAGGTTTTTGAAAAAAAAAAAAAAGAATTTTTTTTTTGAACAGTAGCACTATTCAACATGAACATTAGTACTATTCAATACTATTCCTAAGAGAAATTTTGGTTGAACTAGGAGTGTTGCGAGTACCCGTTTCGAAGAAAATGACATTCTGAGCAAGACTGGAAAGAATTTCTAGCCCCACCCTCTCGTTCTCAAATTCGATCATTTAATAGGGTTTTTAGCTAATTTTCGTTGCTGTCAAGAAAAAAATTTATTTTTTATTTTTTATTTTTTTTATTTCATTTATTTAGGCTTAATTTTGTGATTTTAGTGGTTTATGACTCGATGCAATTCTACAGGAGAGTTGGAATTTGATCCAGAAATCGAACGCAGTTTATGGAAGTTGCGAAAAGAGTCACGTCAAGCAAGTTCTTCATCTCCTGATCTAAATATAGCCCTTGGTTCAGCATCCCACAGCTCATCCAGTGATCCAGATTCAGAGATAGAAGAAGAGATGGCCGCTGGCAGAACATTAAAGGAGTTGGCTGCCCCTGATTTTAATCAGCAGCCTTTGTGTATTCAGTACCCAACTTTAGATGTTGCTTTTGAATTGAAGTCTGGTCTAATTCACTTGTTGCCTACATTTTGTGGTCGTGCAGGTGAAGATCCAAACAAACATCTAAAGAAGTTTCACGTTGTCTGTTCAAGCATGAAACCAACTAGAGTGACAAAGGAGCAAATTAAGTTGCGAGCTTTTCCTTTTTCGTTGGGGGATGATGCAAAGGATTGGCTCTATTATTTACCATCGAGGACAGTCACAACATGGAACGAGATGAAAAGGATGTTTTTAGAAAGATATTTCCCAGCATCTAGAGCTGCCACCATCAGGAAAGAGATAAGTGGGATAAGGCAATATAATGGAGAGACGTTGTATGAATATTGGGAGCGATTCAAGAAGCCATGTGCAAGTTGTCCTTACCACCAGATAAGTGATCAATTGCTAATTCAGTATCTCTATGAAGGATTGCTGCCTATGGAAAGAAATATGATAGATGCAGCAAGTGGATGTGCGTTGGTGGATAAGACTCCTGAAGCTGCCAAACAGTTAATCTCAAACATGGCTGCCAATTCCCAACAGTTTGGTACAAGACATGATGCGCCACCCAAAAGGGTGAATGAGGTAAGTACATCTTCCATTGAACAACAATTATCTGATCTTACCTCTCTTGTTAGACAATTGGCTGTAGGGAATGCGCAACAAGTAAACGCTTGTGGGATATGTTCGACAATGGGACACCAAACGGACATGTGCCCAACACTTCAAGAGGAAGGGACTGAACAAGTCAATGCAGTAGGAAACTTTTTTGGACCATTGAGGCAACATGATCCTTACTCTAACACGTACAATCCAGGTTGGAGAGATCATTCGAATTTCAGTTATGGAGGAAATAGACAAGTAGGAGGTGGACATAATTTCTTCCAGAATAGACAACAACAAAGTTTTCAACCGAAGCAACCTGCCTCACAGATTTCAAACTCATCCCTGGAAGATATAGTTAAGTCCCTTGCTTTGAATACCAAACAGTTTCAACAAGATACAAGATCTAGTAATCAAAGTCTGGAGAATCAGATGGGTCAAATGGCAACTGCTATAAGTCGTTTAGAGGCTCAAGTTGGAGGGAAGTTGCCTTCTCAAACAGTGGTGAATCCAAAGAAGAATGTGAATGCAGTGACGCTGAGAAGTGGCAAGAAAGTGGAAGAACAAAGCTGAACATTCCAAGTGTAGCAAAGGAAGCAGAGATTGAAGATGAAATGAAAGAAAAGGCTACAACTGAATCAAAGGTAATTCCTAACCCTTCAATTAACTTCAGTCTAATACTTTACCTTTTCCTAGCAGATTCGCGAAGTCAAAGAAAGAGAGAAGGATAAAGAAATTGGAGATGTTTCGCAAGGTGGAAGTGAATATACCTCTATTGGATGCAATTAAACAAGTGCAAGGTATGCAAAATTTCTTAAGGAGCTATGCACCAATAAGCAGAAGTTAAACGTGTGATGAGAAGATAATAATGGGAGAAAATGTGTCAGCAGTGCCAAAGAAAGCTTCCTCCCAAGTGCAAGGATCCAGGTATGTTTACAATTCCTTGTAAGATAGGTAACACCAGAATTGAGAGAGCTATGGTAGATTTAGGAGCTTCAATTAATGTTATGCCAATATCTATTTATGCTTCATTTAAATAGGTCCTGTGAAAGATACTGGTATTATTATCCAATTGGCTGATCGCACTAATGCAACCTGAAGGGGTAGTTGAAGATGTTCTTGTGCAGGTCAATGAGTTAGTGTTTCCAGTTGATTTTTACATTTTGGATATGGATGATTCTTCGTCTCCTGACCCTGCACCTATCTTACTGGGAAGACCTTCCTAAATACAGCTCGGACAAACATAGATGTTCATGATGGTACCGTCACAATGGAATTGATGGTGAAGTAATTCGTTTTAATATTTATGATGCCATGGATCGGGCTAACGAATTAACCAAAGGCTTTGCTTGGAGGCAACCCAAGAATTCAGATTTGATTTTCTTTTCCTGAATTTAGTTTTTTTTTATTTTATTTGCCATATTTTTTTTTTGTGTTGTTTTGTTTATTTGTTTTATTTGCCTGTCTCTACATTTGGGTTTTACATTGGGGACAATGTAAGTTTTAAGTGTGGGGGAGAAGTTAGGGTGTAGGTGTAACGTTTGAAAAAAAAAAAAAAAAAAAGCGTTTTTGTTTTTAGGAAGGTTTATGCTTTAAGTCATGTCTTTGAACGCCTAGTGATGCATGAAATAGTAACTTGACTTTGTTATTGAGCATATTCCTTGAATTAAGATGTGAGCAATATTTCATAAAAGAGAGTTAATCATATTTGAATCTTGTAGTTTTGAAACAATATGTCTTGAGAAGTTGGGTGAACTTGGTGACCAAGCATGATTGAGGAGTGTATAACAACACTTAAAAGAAAGAAAAATTGTTTCTCTTAAGCTAGTTCTAAATTTGGGTTTAAGCAAATTAAAAAAAAAAAAAAAAAAAAAAAAAAAGGTATGTGGTGAGTCGAGATGGAGCATAAAACGCACTCACTCATAAACATAACCATGAAAGAGATGGAGCATAAAGTGCACTATTTAAAAAAAAAAAAAAAAAAAAAAAAAAAAAAAAAAAGAGAAGAATAAAGTTCTAGTTTGCTACCAGTTTGTAGTAGTAAAGAGAAACAGTTGAGGAAAGTTGAGGGGTGAGTTGTACATGAATTGGTGATTAGTTTCGTTTGCATTGACTGATTGAGAGTAATTGTGGAAAATGATGAAGAGATACGAATGTCATTAACTCTACTTATTTATCTTTGTTTTCTTCCTAAGCTAGTATAGAATATACATGGATTAAATAGTGTTGCTTATGCATCAGATGGTGTTCTGGATATGACTTGAGTGTAGCTTTTCTTAGTGTTTGAATTAGTTTGCCCGAGGAGCCGCAAAAGCTAGTGTGGGGAATTTGATAAGGTGTAATTTAGATATTTTTATCTTCCATATTAGTTTTGTTATGTTTTATGCCTAGTTGAGCTGATTAGAGCTTATTTTGTAAGTTTGGCATTTTTGGATAGACTTTAGGAAATAATTGAGAAAAGATTAGGAAATTCCAGATTTTCCAGATTTTTCGTTATTCTGACCAGTGCTACGTTTTTTAGGGAGCTAGATTCCTCGATTGCAAAAGTGTTCTTCAGAGAAATTAAAGTAGACGAATCAAGCTTTCAGAAGGTATTATGGGCGAGAATCTGAGTTGTTTGGTTCTCAGTAGTTTTTGCAAAACGGACCTGGAATCCTAGTCGCAGAAGGATTCCTTAACTGAGTATTGGATCTTCGAACGGGCTTAACTGGAGCATCAGATATCGAAAAGGGTGATTCAAAAGCCCAGATTCATCTACACATCTTGGATTACAATTTTATGAAGTGACGGAGCCGAAAAGATTTTTTTACATTGCGAGAATCCTGGTGCAAGTGGAGACGAATTTTGGAATCCAATCTGATAAGATTTTGTCAAATCTGGAAGTCTATCCTCTAGGAAAAGTCTAGGAAAGAATTCTGTGATTCGTGGGAAGAATTAAGGAAAACAATGTTATTAATTAGAAGTTTTTAAGTAAACGGAGAGAGGACAGTGGAGTTTGATTGTTCAGAGTTTTTGGTTCTAGATCAAGATGTGGGTAATTTCCTTCTTCAGTTCAAGGGGATTTTGAAGCCTAATTTCATGTCATTGGTGTAACTTAACTTCAGTAACGTTGTTCTCAATCTCGTTTTTATAAGAATTGTTTATGTTATTCTGATTTAATTGTCTGTGATTCTTGTTTGAGTGATTTAGTTTTGGCCTGCTAATGTTAATCAAGAATTTACCTGTTAGAATTAGGAATTGTGATACGTAATCGTCCTTTTTCTATTCAACGAGTGACGCATGATGATAGCTGATTATGGACAAGTTTCGGTCTTGTCTTGAATAACATAACCTAAGTTAAATAATCCGAGCTTGTGTGATTGTTGCTTAGATTGATCTATTTCCTAATTCTTAAGGCTGCCTTGGATTAAATTAGAGAGCTTGTTCTAGGTGTTTAAGGGTTAGTATCTACTCGAAGAGCTTGTTTCAGTAGTGACAAACTAAGGGAGAATTCGGGTAACAGAGCTTGTTGTTTCCTAGGGTCAGTAGTTCCATAATGAAGAATAGAACAGGTGTTACGGTTACTTTATGTCCAATGCATGTTTAGGTGGATATTGAACCGAGAACTGATTGTTTAACCTGAATTTTTTCTCTGTTTTGCTAGTTTGCTTGATCACAAACCCCCTTTCATTACTGTTGTCAGGTTTACTGTTTAGAGTTTAATTTGCATTTCTGTTGTTTTTATGTTTTAGAATATAAAAATTAATCGAGTCATTCCCTATGGGATCGACCCTTGCTTGCCTTTATACAATTCAATAGTTAGGTTAGTAAGGTTAATTATTTGGGTGCATTCGGCACGCTACCACCTACTAATTACCCCCACTTTGAAGGCTCCTCCGAAGGATACGCCAGAGGTAACTCAAGGAAAGGAAGGCGAGGCCACTCAAGAGCAAGCTGAGGAAATTCTTGATCTAAGAGGTCAGACAAGTATCTTAGACCTCTTCGAAAGGCCCTCGATCAACTACGGCCCATGATCTTTAAGTATTAGAGTGCCAATCGGAGTTAACCTTCGAGAGGTACATGGCTGCTAGGTCTTTGATCTTCTAGTGCAACGCTCCAATTGCAAAACCTGGTAGAACACTTCTTCCTTTGTGATCTTTGTTAAGCTTTGATCAGAACTTCTTCTTTTTTGGCTAAATCTTATTCGTTTTCTTTTGCAGTCTGTGCTTGCCTTAAACATCGCTCACAACAAGACCAAAATCCCCTCCAGAGAGAAAATTCAAGAAATGAGGGAGGAGATTACCAAGTTGAGGCAAGCCCTTACAGAAACAAAAGTATCTGCAAGGGAAACACAACAACTAGTAGACATATGGCTGGAGCAAAGAGAAACTGCTCTAAAAGCTATAGAGTTTCAAAAGCAAGAGCTTCAAAAGAAGGACGATCAGATCAAAAAGTTGTAGATGACAGTGACAAGGCTCACTAAAGATCTGAGCTTGAGAGAGAATGAGCTTCAAGAGAGCATAAACCACGAGAAGGAGATCGAGGCATCTCGAGCGAAACTATAGGCAATCATAGAGAAAAAGATATAGAGCTCAAGATGTCTCGTGGCTAGGTTGCTTTATTGACTGACCAGTTGCGGCATATCAACATTGAGGTGGAAAAGAAAGCTGGGGAGTGGTCGTTACAAGTCATAAATAAGCTGCGAGAAGACAACCCCAACATGAACCTTTACTGCCTTTTTGAAGAGTATTAGGAAACCCTCGCATTGATGCAGCCTGCTTAAGAAAAGGAAGATCAAGAAACTCTCCAGGAAGGTGATCACCAAGAACAAGAGAATCCCAAAGGCCAAGCTACCGAACCTAAGGTTGGAGCAATAGAAGCTAGAGGTCCTGAAGTCCAAGAGAAGTGATCGTCCTCCCTTCTACTCGCTTTAAAGAATCTCTTTTTTCTCTTTATTATTGATATAGCTCTTTAGACTTCCTTCTTGTACATATTTTTGAATATATATATATATATATATATAGACTTTTTGCCATTTGTGATAGTACTTTTATAATTTAAGCACTTCACTAAATGAATACAATTTTTGTGATCGCATAACTTGTAAAATATTGTACATAACAAGATTATAAAGACTTGAGATAACGACACAAGTAATTTCTTAAAGAAGAATAATCTTATTAATGAAATTTACAAGTAAATCAAGATCGTAAAAATTGTAAAAGAACTTGGAATTTACTGATAATAAGGTCTAGATGTTAAGCATTCCAAGCTTGCAGCACTTGAAAACCATCGAGTCGTTTGAGATGATACGTCCCAGGTCGTATCACCTTAGCGACTTGATAATGACCTTCTCAGTTAGGCCCCAATACTCTTCTGCTTGGCTCTCAAGTATCGAGGACTTGTTTGACGACCAGGTCGCTAACCTTAAAGTCTCTTCTCCTGACTTTGGAATTGAAGAACCTCTTAGCTCGTTATTGATAGGAAGATATCTTTAACTGAGCCTTATTGCGATATTCTTCAACCAAGTCCAGACTTGCATGCATAAGTGTTTTGTTGTCTACCTCATTGTAAAACTCTCTCCGAAGGGAACTAGTCCCTACTTCGACTAGGACCATTGCTTCACAACCATATGTTAGCAAGAATGGTGTTTTCGAAGTAGAAGTTCACGGAATGGTTCTATATGCCCATAGAACCTCTAGGAGATTGTCGGCCCAATTGTCTTTTATAGTGTCAAGTTGGCTTTTAAAGTGTGCTTAATGGTTTTGTTGATAACTTCAACTTGTCCATTAGCTTGTGGTCTTGCTATTGAGGCAAATTTCTTATGAATCCCCAAGTCATTGCAAAACTGCTTGACCTCCTCATTGTCGAACTATTTCCCATTATCTAAGATAAGAGTATGAGGAATTCCGTAGCGACAGACTATATTCTTGAAGACGAAGTCTTTAAGCTTCTTTGTGGTGATCGCGGCCAAAGGCTTTGCTTCGACCGATTTTGTGAAATAATCCACTGCAACCATTTTATACTTAATGTCACCTTTACCGATTGGCAGGGGACCTATGAGATCAATTTCCCATATAGCAAATGGCCAAGGGTTGGTCATTGTTGTTAATTGGTAAGAAGTAGCTTGCGGTATGTTCACAAATCTCTACCATTCGTCACACTTCTTCACAAAGTTGTAAGTATCTTCGTGAAGCAAGGGCCAATAATATCCCAATCGGATAATTTTATTGGCGAGAGATTGTGTGGCAGTGTGACTACCACATATTCTTTCATGTATCTCTCTCATGATATAGTTTGCATCTTCACCTTTCACACATCAGAGAAGAGGAGTGTTAAATCCTCATTCGTATAATTGATCTTCAATCTGGGTGTAACGAGCAACTCTAGTCTGTAGGAGTTTTGCCTCAGTCTTGCTGTTAGGAAGAACCCTTTCTTTGAGATACTGAATGATTGGAGTCATCTATGATACAGATTCGATTATAGCCATTGTCTGGTTGGGTGAGTTGATGTTGGGAACTGTTAGTGTATGCCCTAGGAACCAATCATGTTGTTGGTTTCAAGGCATTATATCTTGTAAATATTCTTTTAAGAATAGAAAAAAGAGTTTTGATTTCACATGTTGTTTACTGCTTCATTTATACTATTTATAATGCATGTGAAATGTCCGAATAATACGAATCTTTAGAAAATCAAATCATCGAAGCATTCCCTACGTAAGTAATGTTAATTGGGCAATAACATTGCACAATATGTATGCTGAATGCCTCTATTGAATATCATGTGATGGTATTAGTGTGGGTGATTATAAGAGTTATGTCATTAGGGCATTAGCATGGACAAACAGTTAGTGGACTGTTTATCAAATATGATCGATTATGATGAATCACATGGACATTTGGAATGTGGTCAATGATACATCATAGGATCGTACTAGCGTACCACTGATCCTTAGACCCGAGACATCACGGTTGGACTTGACATAGGATGCATATGATTCATATGGTGTGTATACACGAGACTAATCATGTTTTGTATAAGAAGCCGATTTGATCATATGTTATTCATATGCGAGGACAAGTGATAGTCAAGATGGGATCTATTGACTCGAAATAGTTTGGTCCCGAGTTCCTAGACGAATGTCAATAAACATTGGAAAAAGGAAATCTCTAGCCAGAATACAAAATATTCATATGAAAAAGGAGTTTCATGATGACACGTTCCATTGTATTGATTGACAATTTGGATAAAGATTAAGTTAAGGGTTTTGACATATTATGAACCTATACTTAATTGAGATTAGACGACGGATGAATTTTACTACATAAACATACGATCAGGGAAAAAGGTTCATTGGAGTTTAACTTCATTGTGGCTTAGGGGTTATGGAGCATTGCTAGATGCCTATCATGATCGGTGGGAGTTTCGATCCTTAAGAGTTATGACAAAACATATCGAATTGTGATATTAGGCCCATGGCTAGGTTATAGTGAACTTAAGTGGTCACACCTAAAAACCAAGTATGAGAAGAGAGAGTAATACATATCGTTAAATGTTAACGATGTTCAGATGTAAACGTGTGCATCCAAATTTATGTATTGGTGAGAAGTGATTACTCACGAGAAGCTAGGACTTACCAAGGGTAATAAGGTAATTTGGCCATTATTGGATTAGATTCAATGATGGACTAAAATATATTATTGAATTGGATTCAATAATGGGTTAAATATTAAATGGGATTATTTTATATGCCTTGATTATAAATTTGTTTAAGTCATTTAAAATTAAATTGAAATTATTTCAAGGACTTGAGAACAATTTCAAAATGGTCCTTGTATATAAATAAGTGATATTCCTGAAATTTAATCTAATTTTTCATTTTGATTGAAAATCTTTCTCTTAAGCTCTCATGGCTGGCTCTCTCTTCTTCATCTTGGGCGGACTTTACTTTGAGGATTTTCATCAAATTTGTTGAAGATCTTGAACTCATTTTCAAGTTACAAAAGTTGTAAAGCATAAAAGGTAACAATTTCACCCTTTTAGTTTCAATAACATGTCATATGACCTTATACCATGTTTTACACCAACAATTTCACCCTTTTAGTTTCAATAACATGTCAGGAACTTCAATATATTTGACCGGGATGTTATCCAACACATCGGAGTCCAGCGATGAAGCTATCTTTGCCAAAGCATCTACGATAGAGTTACTATCTCTCGGGATTTGTCTGATCATATACTGCTTGAAGGGCTTGAGTGCAACCATAGCTTTCTTCAAGTAACTGATCATATTCTTTTCTTTGGTTTGATACTCTCCCAATATCTAATTGACTACCAGTTGAGAGTCGCTATTGATGTTGATCACTTCTGACCCTATCTCTCTTACTAGTTGTAGACTAGCAAATAGCGCGCCATACTCAACCTCGTTGTTAGTGGCTTTGAATCCAAACCTAAGGGTTCCATAAATGTGAGTACCCTTGAGGATGATGAGTAGAATACCAGCTCCGGCTCTTCTTCTATTAAAAGACCCATCAACATAGAGGCTCCATGTTGACAGATTTTGAACAGTCTCTTGGATGACCTCACTAGCTGGCTGATGGGAGAACTCCGATATGAAGTCAACCATAGTTTGCCCTTTGATTGTTGCTTTTGGCTTGAAATGTAGATAAAACTAACTTAATTCCATGACCCACTTAAGCAATTTACCTAAGGCCTCTAGTTTCTTAAGGACCTATCTGAGTGAGTAATTGGTTAAAGCATAAATGGTATAGGCATGGAAATAAGGTCGCAGCTTCCTAGAAGTGATTAGCAAAGCAAAGGCTAAGTACTCCATTTCTGGATACCTTAACTCGGCGTCTAGTAATTGTTTACTAGTGCAATACACAAGCCACTAAATTCTATTTTCTTCCCGAATAAGAGCTGTGTTGACTGCATACTGAGAGACGGATAGGTAGAGAAATAAATTTTCCTTGGGAAGTGGCTTGGACAGAAGAGGTGGCTTTTCGAGATGCTCTTTTACGCTTTGAAAAGCTTGTTCACATTCTGGATTCCATTCGAATTTCTTGTTGGCTCTGAGTACATTGAAGAACGACAAACAATGATATGTAGCTCTCGATATAAAGCGATTGAGAGCTCATATCCTCCCATTCAAGCTTTGAACTTAGGTTTTATGGGACTCTTCATATCTAGGAGAGCTTGGATTTTCTCGGGGTTGACTTCAATTCCCTGATGGTTAACCATATACCCCAGGAATTTACCTGAAGCTACTTCGAATGAACACTTAAGAGGATTAAGTTTCATTTTGTATTTTTGGAGTATATTGAACATTTTTGCGAGGTGAGCTATGTGATCTGAAGCAACATGCAATTTGACCAACATATCATCAACATAGACCTCCATTGTTTTCCTAATCTGCTCAGAAGACATTCGATTAACTAGACACTAGTAGGTTGCCCCAACGTTTTTTAGACCAAAGGGCATGACTTTGTAGCAATACAACCCCTGATTTGTGATGAACGAGGTATGCTCCTCGTCAAGCGTAAACATCAGGATCTAATTGCATCCTGAATATGCATCCATGAAGCTCAGTAGCTCGTGCTCGGAAGTGGCATCAACTAGCTGGTTGATTCTGGGCGAGAGGAAATTGTCCTTGGGGCAGGCCTTGTTGAGATCCATAAAACCAACACAAGTTCGCCAGTTACCATTGAGTTTTTTCACGAAAATAGGATTGGTGACCCAACTACGATAATGAGCTTCTCGAATTAATCCAATTGAGAAGAGCTTGCCTACCTCAAGTTTAAAAGCCACATAGCGCTCTATGTCCATAGCTCTTCTTTTCTGGCAAACTGGTTTGATCTCACTATTGATGTTAAGTGCATGACATATGACTTCGGGACTAACCCCAATCATATCGGCATGTGTCCATGCAAAAACATCAATATTCTGTCTGAGGAAGCTCATTAAATTGGTTGCAAGCTAAGGGTTAAGGTTACTTCTGATTCTCAACACATGAGTTGGCTCAAGCTCGTCAACAGGTACCTTAGACAAAGTCTCAACTGGCCTATTGTAGGTATACTCCTCTTGTACACGAGGATCAATGTTATCTCCCACTGGACCAGGTTGTGGCTTGATCCTGTTGATCTTTATTGCCTGCTCGAGCTTGTCCTTGGGCTTCGTTTTCCCTTTGCATGCAATCTCAATTGCTTGATTGTAGTAGTTGTGAGATTCACGTAGTGATCCCCTAACTTCCCCACACCTTGTCGGAGTGGGGAACTTCATCTTCTGGTGATAGATGAAAGTGACAACTTTGAAGTTCCATAGTAGAGGTCGTCTGAGAATGCCATTGAATGTTGAAGGACAATCCATTACCAAAAATTATGTCATCTTGGTCACTTCGTGGGGATCTCCCAAAGTGACCGAAAGAGTAATCATTTTCCAGGGAGTCAGATGATCCCTGGTAAAACCATAAAAAGGAATAGTACATGCTTCAGGTCTGTCTCTTCCAGCTTCATCTCCTTAAAGGCTTGCTAGAATAAGATATTCACGGCACTTCCATTGTCCACTAACATCATGTAGACTTTGCACCAATTTTATTTTAGCCACGACAACCAGTGCATCCTCGTGAGCGTGGTGTGCTCATTTCGCGTCTTTTTCAAAGAAGGTAATCTCCTCTTCCTTGTGTAGCTTACTAGGTCATGCTTCCAGATTGAGCACATTGTAGGGCTCATATCGGGCTTCTCGGGCATACCTATTTTATGCATGCCATGAGGTCATTACAATATAAGGTCCCCTAATGATGGTCCCTTCCAAATGAGACCTTTGCGACCTCTACGTCTTTCCCCATCTTCTTGGTCTTTCTCCCTCAAGGAAGCCGGACCATTAACATACTCTTTGAAGTGACCTTTCTGGATAAGGTCTTTAATTGCCTACTTAAGAGCTTAGCACTCATCGGTGTGATGCCCATTATCCCAGTGGTAACGATAATATTTCTTGTCATTCCTTTTAGACAGATATTTCTTCATGGGCTCTAGCTCTCTGAGTAGATTGACTTCTGCTTAATTACCCAGGATGGCTGAGACCAATGCATTGAGTGGAGTAAAATTATCGCGGTCACAACGAGGAAGTGGAGCATAAGTTTTCTTGGGCTCAGACTATTATTTCTTTTCCTTTCTCTGATCGTCATTAGACAATTTACGATCATTCCTTCTACTACTCTCCCCTAGAATTCATCATTTCGACTGGGAGAGCTAGTCCAAGGCTCGGGGTTGTGGCAATTTAGAGTTACCACAAAGTTTTTAATCCGCAGATACTTCTCTGTCAAATTGTAGAAGCGATTAAGGGAAATGTCATCTTTCGATTGCAGCTTGTTTCATAAGTCAGTTTGTGGATGAACTCTGGCATTAATCAGAGTTCGAACTGAATCCTTAGGTGTATTAGCCACCTTATTTAGTTTCCTATGGAACCTGTTAATGTAAGACTGAAGAGACTCATTCTTCTCCTACTATATTTTGCTTAGATAGCTGAGTGACATTGAGAACTTCTGATTATCCTAGAAGTGTCTCAAGAACAATTGATGCGTGTTTTTACAACATGCAAAATGTAGCAAGTATACCAGTTGCACAAAGTAATAAAATGATGAGTAGAGTATCATTCCCACGAGGATTGTTAGCAAATCACTGAGTTTCCTAATGTTATCAAGTTGAAGCAATCGATTTCTTTGGATTAGTGGGAGCTAATTCTAATTAAAACTAACGATGAATTTTAAACTAAACACTTAATTAAGAAAGCAATATGAAAACACAGAATATCAATTCAAGAAAAGCGGGTAGGGTTTTGACTTCATTTGGATTTTATGGGTTAAACCTAAAAATTACACTACATTGACATTCATACGCAATGGTTGTAAATCGAACTCACTAAGGTGTTAAACATACCCTCTCGGGCTATGTTTTCTTATTCATCCTTATTAACCTTCCGCACCCAACAAATTGAAGAGTAATAATTCCAAACTCATTAAGCAAAAGAATCCTACAATGATTTCATTAATTCTTGAATCTATCTCTAGCATCCAATACTATAATGGTGATTACCCAAGAAGCCTAACATGATTCATTTCTCAATCTCATCATGTTCATCACATACAACATTAAAACTCAGAGTAAACACACAACCAAACCACATTCATATGAAAATAAACAATCAAACACTTAACCCAATAAAAATCCAAACTACAATCAAAACTCTAACCCAAAGTAGATTAGTTCATAGCTAAATCAATGATACAAAAATGAAAAACGGAAATAATCAAGTTCAACATAATGAAACTGAGATAAAAGATAAGAAATCTCCCCAAAAGATGAATCCTTTAGTTAGATTCGAATCTTCTCCCTTTTACAATCCAAATTGCCCAAAGTTCATCCAAGAAAAATGTAAAAGTAGCTAACCCTAAAACAGACGAAGACCCCTGGGCACAAGGCTAAGTTTTTCTTTTATACTTCGTCCAAATTACCCAGCCAAAAACACGCACAAAGCAAAACTGTGCGTTTAACAAAACTGAAAATAATGACTGTCGCCGCGGTGAAGAGTGAAGCAGACACGCTCGTCCCTGGCTTACTTCGCTGCGGCGAAGACAATTCCTTCGCCGGGGCGAAGCTTCTTGAAAAGTTTTGAAATTACAGAACTGCCACTCTGTTTGCTTCTTCGTTTGATTCTTCGATTCTCGGTGCTCTCCCTTGGGAACAAGCTTCATCGTGCTTTATCCTGCTTCGGAACTCTCCCATCTTCTGAGATCCGCTAATTTCTGAGTCAAAAATATCCAATTTTGTCCTTAATTGCTCAAAATGTCCATTTTAACCTGAAACACAAAAAGTAGAGAATTAAGCAACAATTCAGGTCAAAATGCACTAGAAAGTACCTGAAATCCGACAAAAAAGTCTAATGAAAACTGTATAATCCAAGGATTATCAACAATGAGCTCATTTGCTTCCATGAGTTAATAGATCTTAGTGGAAGCGATCTGAACCAATGTTTAGCATGGGCAATCAAAGTCACTAATAAGTAGCGACACTTCGCCAAGTTTGAAACTTGGTGAAGCTCCATGAGATCATTAAACTCATAGAGATGATCCTGAGGATCAGTATTCCTATCGAATGCCTTCATGTCGGGCATTCTAATTCTTGGCGACATAGGTGTTGTCAGGACTGCTGGGGAAAAGAGAGATGCCTTAGCGATCACTCACTGCTTATTTTGCTAAGCTCAGAATTGATCTAAAGCTCGTTATAACTCCTCTATCTGAGGAAGCTAAGCCCTTTGGGGATCACTCTCTAACTCGACGATTGCAATTGATGAAAGACCGTAGTTTGGTGTTTTCTCTATTTTGGTTGGAGCCTTCATGCCTTGACACTTACGGGTCGAAGCCCTGTGAAGGGCTAAGTGGTTGGAAGAGTTTTCCCTATCTTTGTAGTGGTCAAAACCGACGCGTTGATGATGGGTACTTCCCTCGCAGTAGTGGCCGAAACCATCATGCTGGCGATAATGGGATCTTCCGTGCCTGACACTTTCATAGGTGTGCCCTTGCGATGTGTCATGGGACTACTCTTGGTGCAAAATACTACCAAGTTGCTAAGCCAGAGGTTTCTTCCCCTACTCGTGACCAGTATTCGTATGCCCTTTTGAGCATTTCTATCCTTGCTAGGCTATTCGTTTACCCTTATTCTTTTGTGTTGTAGTGTGAATGGTACAAGCTACGCTCTTTTCCATGCTTTAGAGCGACTTACAGGCATCTTCGGAGCTGGTACTACCTTGTCTAAATTTGGTGGCACGACCTAGTCCAAACGATCCAACCTTTGGTTTATCGTTTGGAGAGTGTTATCAAACTTCTTCAAGTAATGGATCAAAGCAGGATCTGCTTGGGAAGTCGAGGGGATGCTTTCTACCATATTTTGGGGAGGTGGAACTACTTCACGAGGAGTAGTTTCTTGATTGCAAGGAATCTCCTCGTTATTGGTGCTAGTGCGCTCGGTCTCAAAACCACAAGCCATGAGATTTTGTGGTTGATCTTTAAAGATGAAACTGACGGATCAGTTGAGATTAATAGATAGAGAGCTAATGTGAATATGGCCCTCCTTCTAACGCCAAACTGTTGATTCTTGATTTTGACGCCAACAACTTTGCACGTGCAAAGTGCTAAGAAATCTTAGAAATTACATGTGAATTGATTATGAGAGCTGAGTTGGTACTATTCTCATAGTAGCATACAAAGATGTAAAAGTAAAGGAGAAAGTAAAGATTTTTATAGTGGTTCAAATGCTTAAAGCGAATCCTACATCAACTGTTTTCTTTTATATTAGTGTGTTCTTGGTTGTTAGCCAAGATTACAATAGGCCGTGAATTGCAATCTAGCGTTATAAGTGCTTGGTGTTCTAAGGATTCTTAGAGAATATTAAGCTAGTCTCTTTCTCATAGTGCGTCTTTGCTATTTTCTTTGCTGAATTCAGAGTGTCTGATCCTGATTTTGTGAAGAGGAACTGTCTATTTATACCCACTGAGCTCAAGGTAATGATTACATTTATGCAAGTGGATTGGTGCCGTGCAAATCTCTCATGTCTTTCCATTGGTTGAAAACTTAATAAATATCCTTAAATTAAATGGGGCTTGGACAGGTGTGCGAACCAAATTCATTCATAGGAAAAACTTGAGTCAATTGGGTTGTTGACAACTATATTCTTTCTATCTTGGGCGACGTGGCAAACTCTGGACAGTGCAAAGTCTTCCTGAACTTTGATTGGTGCTCACTAACATCAGCTTATGTCAGCCCTAGTTTTTAAGCATAACAGACTCCATTCATTTACCTTTTCTCTATTTCATAGTATATTATTTTGGTTTTGCCTCCTGTAAAATTAATTCTTGTGTCCATCCTTGGGCTTTACGAAATAATAAAGCGTTCAGGTTTGGGAAATTTCTTTAAAAAAAAAAAAAAAAGTTTTGAAATCCATTTGTGGAAGCACACTTTGACAAATAATTACTACAAAATCAATGTACAAAAAATGGTCATCTTAGCAATAAGAGCAAAAGTCTTCATAATCAATTCCATATCCAGTGCAAATACCTTCGTAACTAATCGTGCTTTATATCATTGAATAGAACCATGCAACTTAGTTTTGGTTTTGTACACCCATCAATTGCCAATAGCATGTTTGTTAAAAAGTAAAAAAACTAAATATACATATTGGTCTTATGTAATGCGAAAAAAAAAATTATTTATTGCTTGTTGCTAAAGAGGATCAAGAATAGCCTCTGATCAAGAAACTTTGTTCGTTTTTTCATTCAAAAAATATTGGAATGAGGTTTTGTATGATGCACTTAAA